TAACTTTATCCCATTGGCAAATATTATTTAAGACAGTCAGAATGTGCTCAAATTTAGACAAAAACCACTCAATTCAAACAATTATTGCCCCATAGTTTATTTTACTTTTCAGCATTTTTTTTGTAGTGGTAGATGTGGCTTGATATTGTCCTCTGACTGTGGTAATGGCAGCTCTCCTCATGTGTGTTGTGCTGGAGCGTGGTCAGTGTGTTGCCGCTCTCCGAGTTGTTCCTTTTCGCTGGTGAGTCATGACTTACATAATTTGATGTTATTTAAAACAGCCTCTGACTTATTCCGGGCTGTAAGTGGGGCAGGTAGAGAGACATGTGGGTGCAGTCCACAGAAAGTCTCTTTGCATTCATACTCACACACCAGGCCCGGCCAAACTCAGGCCCGGGGGCTAGATGCGGCCCTCTGTGTCATGTGTATGTGGTCCTCTGCCTTGCTCACCCACTGTAGTCTTTGAGATCATAAACACAAGTTCACTGTAAGTAATTAGTGTTTATTTATATAGCGCATTTTTACAGACCAAGGTCACCCAAAGCGCTTTACGATGTTCAGAGTTCAGATATTGTTCCAATCGTTCCACACACGGTGATGACAGAAGCGAGTCGCCGAACACACTGTTGCATCAAAGCTCCCGATCAACACCATCCATTTACTCACTCATTTACATTCAGACCTATTGTGCATGTTTTTAGTGGTAGGGGGAACCGGAGCACCCAGAGGAAACCTACGCAGACATGGGGATAACATGCAAACTCCACTCAGAAAGGCCCTGTTCCGACCGTGATTCAAACCCAGGACTGTCTTGCTGAGAAGCGAGCGTACTATCCACTCAGCCGCCGTGCCGCCCACTGTGTCATCCATCCAACTTCAGCTCAGCCGATATAGACCTTGTTCTAAAGTACAGTACCTCTGGAGTTGAGTCGTTAACTTGAGAGCTAGTGAACATTTGTCAATCAGCCAACTTCAGCTCTGACATATATCAAGTTAAAGCTCAGAACAGCCCAATGCCAGACAAGACAGATTTTTCAGTTTGTGACTTCCGCTGGACGAGTCAGTTGAACCAAAGTGGCCCTCTTACTAAAATGTTTGGACACCCCTGTTATACACACTAGGACTGTAACGAGTGAATTGAAATAGTTGTCATCTATTTTGGGCACGGCAAGGCAAGTTTATTTGTATAGCACGGTTCATACAAAAGGCAGCTCAAAGTGCTTAACAAAACAAGAGAGAAACAATCATAGGTGTTAACATCATGAGTAATTACAGTACATTAAAATTAGTGACGACACAATCCTCCAGTTGTATGGACAGCTAAACAGATCTGTTTTTAATCTGAGTTTGAACATTGTCAGAGTAGAAACCTGTCTCACAGTTTTTTGGAAGACTGTTCCAGATTTTAGCAACATTAATCTGAAAATCTGCCTCCCCAGATTCAGATTCAGTTTATTTGCAGTAAAACCACATTGGAATACATTGGCAAAGGTCCCCAGTGTGCACCAGACAAGTTGGTAGAGCATTGGCCTTTGAGCCTTAAAGTTGTGGGTTTCAAGTCCACCGCAAGACCTTCTCCGCTGACTTCCACTGATGTCTGCTGTCGATGTGTTCTTGGGCAAGACACTGTACCCACTTTGCCTGTATGTATGTGTATTCATCAAACTGAAATTTCCCGACTGTGGGGCAAATGAAGGTGTCATGGGGTGAGATGATGGAGGACTCAAAATGCAGGAGTGCCAAAATAATAGTTTAATGAAATAAAGTCCAAAGTGAAAATAAAAGTCAAAAATCCAAAGGGAACAGGATCACATAACCAAGAACAGGACAAGACAGGTGTTGACAAGACAATGGACCAGCAACAAGGGGAGAGGAGCACAGGGTACATATAGACACAGAGGGACAGGTGAAACACATCAGGGCGGGGCAGACAATCAAGACAGGGGCAAACAGGACGTCAAAGTCAAACTAAAACCAAACCAGAGAACATGTCAAAATAAAACCAAAATACAAAATAACAAAATCCACACCGTGACAGAAGGACCTTTTTCAAACTGATAACAGCCTGTGGAAAGAAAGTTGTTAGCATTATCTAGATGTCCTGCATATCAACGAACCTTATCTTGGGAGGGAAGAAGCTGAAACATGGCCTTTCCAGGGGGAGGAAGAGTCATTGATTATTCTAAGAGCTCAGATTTAAGAGTCTGGATTTAAATAGAGCCTCCAGAACAGGCCGCTCACAGCTCTCAGTCCTCTCTCAAATCGAAGCACCAGAGCTCGCCTTTCTCTCCAAGAAAACTTTCAATGCTCTCCATGTTTAGTCCTGACTCCAGGCACCAGCAGTCCCTGTGCTCCTCAGAGTCCCAGCAGGAGGCCAGTCCCTGTGCTCCTCAGAGTCCCAGCAGGAGGCCAGTCCTTGTGCTCCTCAGAGTCCCAGCAGGAGGCCAGTCCTTGTGCTCCTCAGAGTCCCAACAGGAGGCCAGTCCTTGTGCTCCTCAGAGTCACAGCAGGAGGCCAGTCCCTGTGCTCCTCAGAGTCCCAGCAGGAGGCCAGTCCTTGTGCTCCTCAGAGTCACAGCAGGAGGCCAGTCCCTGTGCTCCTCAGAGTCCCAGCAGGAGGCCAGTCCTTGTGCTCCTCAGAGTCACAGCAGGAGACAATTCCCTGTGCTCCTCAGAGTCTGAAAAGCTAAGATAAGATAGACTTTATGGATCTCACACTGGAGACATTTACATGTTACATTTGGCAAAGATAGAGTCACTCAGATTGTGCAATAGACAAAAGTGTGCAAACATTATTAAAGATGAAAAATATAGTCTGTGCAGGACATAATTGTTATATTATGTACAATAAAAGTGGCAATTAAAGAAACAGTTGGTTCATAAGGCATTTCATATTTCTTGAATCCTTTTTTGAACCTTCCATTGACCTAAACATACTGAGAAGAGATTTTATGTGTCAGATAATTCTATAATGACTGCAGCATGAAAATATAATCACATTTCCAAAGTATCAAAAAACTTTATACAAAAACCCATACTCATTGACCTTTTGGGATCTAAACAACAAGAGAATGGAATAATCAGCCTGCCAAATAATCGCTTATCAAAATCATTGTCAATAACAGCAGCACTGATCCTTGAATAATCCTAGAAATCCATAAAAATGCATTAGTCATTTTTCTTTTCACTGGGAATCATCAATGCATCATAAGTGAAAGAGGAAGTCGTCCGGGCACGCTTCCTGTTTGGCTCCTGTCACTTCGATATAGGTCACATGCAGAGACAGTCCTCCTCCTTATGCTCACAACAGCTCTGTCACAGACTCCAAATGTGTCCAAATATAAACTCTGTCTTTAGAAACTCTCCGATTGTTTTTGTAACAACCAAACCTGTATCTTGTTTTTCTCTTCTCTTTAGTTGAAAGGCAGAATAATGGAGTCTATTAAATCCTAGCTATTTGTTTCTTTAGGCGAACAGTAGTGACAGTAGCTCAGTTGGTAGAGCATTGGCCTTAAGCCCAGAAGGTTGTGGGTTCAATTCCCGCCTCTGCACCTTCTCCACCGACTCCCACTGATGACTACTGTCGTTGTGTCCTTGGGCAAGACACTTAACCCCACTTTGCCCAAAGCCCCCACTGAAAGATCAAGGCTATGCTCACACTCAGAGAGCAGCCGTCCTCCTGTGGACTCACCACCTGCAGAGGGTCAGTGAGGGGCTGGTGCTATGAGACTTGGGTGGCATCTCTGATTGCCACCCCCCTGACCCAGAAATGGATTAAAGGGTAGAAAATGGATGGATGGATGGATATTTGTTTCTTCATTTTCAACAACAACAACGCTATAGATATATTTATATTTAGGCTGGGGTACTTCCTAACACTTCATAATTGTTATCTAATTTAATTCATGTTGTTTATTTGGGAGGGACAGTGTTATTAGCAGTGACTGTAAATACACCAGATTGTAGCTTTGTTGCTTATTTGTATCTATAATCTCACAGTCACACTCATTCCGCCCTCACCGACATGATTTAAGTGGTAGGGGAAACCGTAGCACCTGGAGGAAACCCACTCAGACACAAGGAGAACATGCGGAGTCCAAAATTGGTTGTTTTGTGTGGGCTTCCCGTGGAATCAAACCCAGGACATTATAGCACAAGCCACGGTGCTAACAAAATCCGTATACTTGTGTTTTGATTTGCTTTTTCAGAGAAAAATAGAGAAAAATAGACGCCCATTGTTATAGTGTTGTTGTTTTTTTATATATATAGACAACAGGTCAGAAATATTGTCACAGCTTTTTTTCAGTGCTAAGCAACGGCCCCAGATGTAGATTGTGTTGCACTGCCCTCTAGTGGTGCGTTGAAGTAACTACCATCTTCCCAAAGGTTTGTTTATTTTTGTATAGCTCTAAATCACAGCAGTCGTTCTTGATTTTACAAATTTGTTCATTCCTCACCAACAGATCAGAAAATCAAGTTTGACAAATTAATAACAACAATTAATTCATGGGGTACCTAAATTTTAAACCACAAAAAATGCAATATAATATAAATCCATCTGAATCCATCCATCTCTCAAAACATTTAAGGTTTTATCCCTTTTTAATTTCACATGCAGCATGTTTGTGTGTCAGTCTCCCCGGGGTTTCTTACTTTTTTCCCCACTGCGTTTTTTAGTTTCCTTCAGATCTGGGACATTTATAACATTTATGGACAGTTGTTATTCCGCTCCCTTTGGTCCATTGTTGGTTTCTATGTGTTTTATAAATTATTGCATTTCCTGTGCTCTGTTTCATTCTCTGATCTGTTGTTGGTGAATCGACAACTTTGTAAAGTCCTCTCAAACAAATGCTGTTTATACAATAATACATTCAATTGAAATTAATTTAGAAATAAAAAAACCCTCAAATATTCCTCTTGTTTCTCTGAGGTTCTATCTGCAGCTTGTAGCAGACACAATCCTGTCACCTTTAACCTCTCCTGTCTCGTGTGTCTGTGCAGGGCCAGGCTGACCTCCTGAAACACGCCAAGAGCGAGGCGCTGGACACTCTCCGTCAGATCCACTGCGCCGCCCAGTCCTGCGGCCTCAGCAAAAACGGATCGGCGTCGCCACAGCTGCCCCACCACCCCCTGCACCAAAACCAGTCCACAAGCCCCCAGACACCCCAGCCGATCCTCACCCCGGAGTTTCCCCAACAAGCGCCTCTCCAGCCAGCCCTTTCCATGCAAAACCCCTCAAACCTGCAGGCCAAGATCCATCCACAGCCTCCGCCGGTCCCTCTGCTCCAGTATCAACCCCAAATCCAGAGCTCTACCCTGGCTTACATCCCCACCGCTCCTCCCTCCATGGTTCAACCGCTACCAGTCAAACCACCAGCCTATCCGCAACCGCCTACACTTCCCCAGTATCACCAGCAGAGGGGGGCAGACGCCATGCCAGAGAAAGATGTTTCGATGGTGGGCCATGTGGCAGGACAGTGCTGACCGGTCGCCTGTGCCCACGGAGCCAATCAGAGCCCAGAGGAAGCCAGGAAGCAGGGAGAAGGAAGTGGGAAGCAGGGAGAAGGAAGTAGGAAGGAGGAGGTGGTGAGTGAGAGGCAGAAAGTGAGTACCGGGCGAGTCCGGAGTGAGACGCAGGTTTAAAGCGCACGCAAAAAGACAGTGCGAGTGTTCAAACAGAGGCGGTAGATGGTGGATTTAGTACAAATGTAAAACTTTTGGTTTCATTCAGAATACACTACAAGTATTTGAGACATAAATTATGTTCATTGGAGTGCATTTTGAGTCTCTTAAAACTGGATTTCCCAATGGAACAACCACAATTTTTTTCAGAAATGAGTCAATGAGAAATTCAACTGCATTATAAAACAAAACGCCTTGTCTCATTCTCAAATTGTTTTAAGACAAAGTCAAAATTTACTCAATTTAAGATTCAATTTATGACTCAATTTCCAACATATGTGGTTTGATAAGTACCTTAGTGTTAAAGAGTGTGCCACAGCTGACCGTTTTCTCCAGGTATTAATTCAATTAATTGGAAAATATTGCTAAGAATGCGGTTTTTGACAAAGAAAATATAATTCAGGAAGTTAAAAGATAAAGATGCCATTTCATATTTATGAATTTGTGGCCCGGTCCTGCTTTACCTAGTGATTTGAGGATTTGAGTGACCTATGGCTTTGAGGAGTGTATGACTATCACAATTATTAATTAACTTACTAATTAAAGTGAAACGAGTTTTAGGGAAAAGGTGCCGAATGTGTAATGACCAAACTCTTTTGAAAGAACGACTCTTTTAATGGCAGTATTTGAGCTCTTATTTCAAAATCAGTAACATTACAGCAGTGCAAGCAATAAACTAGAACATATATTTGTATAACTGACAAAACAAAATCAATGGAGTCCATAATTCAGTATTGGTCATACGAACTGGTCAAGACATAATTACTCTAAGTCCAGAGACACAATGGAGGGGGATTACAAAACTGTTGTCATGCAATAAATCAGAAAACACTTTACTTGCTCTTTTCTTCTCCATTTCTTTTAATTAACATTTTATTCCAAGTTATATCAATTCATGCTTGTACATTCCTAAATCACAATCACAGTCATTGTGAAAGACTTTACAAAGTTCTCGATTCACCGACAACAGATATTAACAGACATTGGGAACACAGAAATGCAATAGGAGCCATTGGTCCACAGGGGGCAGCATGACCAATGTCTAGAAATTATCATCACTGTTCTTAGACCCTCATGCATTGGCAAGGAACAAATCAAAAACTCTAATGGAGAAAAAAGCACAAGTGGTCAAGCTATAGATCCAGGAGTCAGGCTGTAGAACGAGGACTCAGGCTGCAGATCCATACGATCATATGTCATTGTCAAACCTGGTCCAAACTTGTCCATTTCCACTGATCTATCCACCTCCTGAACACCGCACTGTCCTGTTGAACTCACGCTTCTCTAGTCGCTCGAACAATTTCATTTTCTTAGTTACGGTACATTCAAAACTGAAATCTCACCTTTGGATTGTGCTCTTACGAATGGGAATAGTAGAGACGGCTTCCCTTTTGGGCTCTGAGTTTCGCTGCTTGCTCTGTGGGTGCAGGCTATACCTCATTTTTGGCATTTTGTCGATGCCGCTAACTTTGCCTTCTCATTTTTATACTTAGTTTGGCATGTCTTTGGATTCTCACACTACAGCACTGTGCAAAAGGGAAAGGGCAGGCTCTATAGAAAACCCTTTTGATTCACTGAAAGAGAGTGACGGCTTGATAAATGGCTATAGTTTTAGTTGCGATGATGGGTTGTTTTAGCGATACAGGCTATCGGCTTGGGCACGTTCAAATCCAATCCATCTATCCACTTGAAAGTTGTCTATGTGTTATAACTCTGACACTAGCAGGTAAAAGCATGTACAATTCGTGCTTGAAAGTATACACACCCAAGATTATGGATGATCACTCAATTTTTGTTTTCCTCCACTTATCGTTAGTGGTTTTGTGATGCGATAGATCAAGGGTATTCAAGTCAGTACTCAAAGTGCCGTGTGGCTGCAGGTTTTTGTTCCCACCAAGCAGGAAATGGGTGGTGTCTGGAGGTGCAGGAATGGGTGCACTCCAGCTTGGTGTATCATATATGTTTATCATCCACGGGTGTCTAAAATATGGCCAGTAACTATTATTAAAAAGTCTGTCTGGGTGTGTAAACTTCCAAGCACATTTATACCTTTCCTCTACCAAAAATATGAACATTAAATTGGCTAAAAGTGAACAAATACAAGCAGTTTAGTGGCTGAGGAATGTGATGAGGAGCTATGTCACACGGGGGAAGCTCAGAGTAGACACGCTGCTCATCCACATAGTGAGCAAAGTGTCCCACGGGGAGGAGACCCGGGACAGACTGGAGCAACTGTCTCTCAACTCGAATAGGCCTTGGGCTTCTCTCACTGCTGCCTTCACAACCCGGGCCTGGACAAAGCAGAAGAAAATAGATGGATGGATGGATAAATTGCCTAATTATTGAACTCAAACAACTACATTCAAGATTAATGCTACCAATAAGTTGCTTTTAGCTGTGCACAGACCTGATGCTTTACAAATGAGGTTTTGAAAATGATATTAAATAATCTTTGCACAGTGCTGTCTGCTTTTGATATATTTAATCTAATGCTTTTTAGTGGATGGGATATTTCTTTTGTCTTATTTTAAAATGCACAAATTAGATCAGCACAACACAGGGAGTGGTAGTTGGTATAGAGAGACAGAAGCTCCTAAGTGGAAAGAGTTCACCAGCCAATGAGAAAGTGACCAATGGGAGCGTCTTACTGCTGTCACCATAGATGTATAGTTATTGTACATGTATGAAGGGTATACTATATATATATTGCTATGAATAATAATGATAAATGCAGACAGATATATTATTAATAATGATGTTGTTAGTTTTGTTGATTTTTTTGAGGTTTTTTTTTTACGTTGTGACGATTATGATTTGACACTTGTGAAATGTGAGGGTCAGACTAAAACTAATGAAATAATGTGTTTCACTGCAAAATGACAAACTTCTCATTAAAACCGGCTTCATTGTTTCCCCGGGTCTCTGAGTGTGTGTTTTTATCGCTTGTATTGTGATTCTAAAACTATCAGAACTCCCGGCTCCGCCATTTTGACTTCCCCCATTCAAGCCGACAAGATTCAGAGAAATTACACAAACTTATTCAGAGAAATGTACACAATTTTTTGTTTTTCACCAAATGTATCAAAAACAAGTAATTTGTAAGATGTTTCAACTCTACTCATTCGTAAGAAGTGGTAGAACCTGTGAATATAACTTAAAATACAGCAGCAGCAGTTTGTTAAAAGGCTAACGCTAACCACTGACAAGTAAACCGTGTGTTGCTATAGTAACAATCTGTTATCAGGTGGAAAACCAAGCAGAACCAGAACCAGTCCAGGACCAGGATTATTAAATAAGGGTTTTAACAATCAAAGAAAGAAACTAGGAAGAACTAGTCACATATAAGAAGTACAAGATTTCAAACTGACAGAAATAAACTATATATGTATAAAGACAGAAAACAGTAATCACACTTTTAATACTTCTAGCACTAACACCAGTTCATATTCACCTTGTAATGTTTATTCTAAGTAAGTAAATCATCTTTATTTATATTGCACGTTTCACAGACCAAGGTCACACACCGCGCTTTGCAAAATATTGGTTTACTGGTTCTTTCCAGTCACTCCACACACGGTGATAACAGCACATCACCTCCCATTAGATTAAAAAATATTGCACATGTTTTAGTGGTAGGGAAAACCGGAGCACCTGAAGGAAACCGGAGTACCATGTGGGGCGGCACGGTGGCTGAGTGGATAGCACTCTCGCCTCTCAGCAAGAAGGTCCTGGGTTCGAATCCCGGTCGGACCAGGGCCTTTCTGAGTGGAGTTTGCATGTTCTCCCCGTGTCTGCGTAGGTTTCCTCCGGGTACTCCGGTTTCCCCTACCACTAAAAATATGTCCAATAGTTCTGGCATATGCCTCCTGTACTGGCGACCCCGCTCCCATCTCTGTGTGGAGTGAGAGACAAATGCCCAAAATTAACAATTGTAAACCGCTTTGAGACTCAGATCTGCAGTGAAAAGGCGGTATATAAATAAAAACTTACTTACTTACTTACTTACCTGGAAGAAACCGGAGCACCTGGAGGAAACCGGAGCACCTGGAAGAAACCGGAGCCCCTGGAGGAAACCGGAGCACCTGGAGTAACCCGGAGCACCTTGTAGGAAACCAGAGCATCTAGAGGAAACCGGAGCATCTGGAGTAAACCGGAGCACCTGGAGGAAACCAGAGCACCTGGAAGAAACCGGAGCCCCTGGAGGAAACCGGAGCACCTGGAGTAAACCGGAGCACCTGGAGGAAACCAGAACACCTAGAGGAAACCGGAGCACCTGGAGTAAACCGGAGCACCTGGAGGAAACCGGAGTATCTGGAGGAAACCGGAGCACCTGGAGGAAACGGCCGGCGGGCTTTGAAGCACAAACACTAATCACTTCGCCATCTTGTCGGCCATTTTGAGGACAAACAGAGAGACCAAAAGTATGTATGAAGGTATTTTTATAATGAGCATGTGCTATTTGTACTTTTGAACTTTAATTACTTTCTTTGTCTAACTATAATCACACACACGACTTGTACAATCCGCACGGTGATGCCACAGAGCCTTTGTGTGCTTGGGGAATAAGTCATCTTTATCTATGTAGCGCCTTTTGCAGACAAATAATAGCCTCAGCCTTATTAGCATTAGCCCTGGTCACACTTCCCATTGTGACTGTGAAAGGCCAACAGGAGGTTATTTGTTTTGCTTGATATTTTTGCACCTATGCTACTTTTCTATCAGCTAATTGACTTGTTTTTGCCCATCAACTCATCGCAGAGGCATTTGCTAATAGAGCGACGGCATGCACTGACAAAGCCATG